CAACATATATTTATAAATCAATTATATATATATATATATATATATATATAGATACACACACACACAAAACTTCGTTTAACATCCATGGGATAAAATCCCAATGATGTTTTTCTTTTTCCTGTCTTTTTTGATATAAACAGTCTTGATTTTAAAACAAATCAACAATTTTGTTTAACTCAAAATAGGCTTGTACATATGACTTGAAATATGACATTTGGAATTTCAGATTTAAAAACTATAATTTAAAACTTAATTTTCATAAATAAAAAAATATACATGTGGTGAATTTGTGGGTGGTTGTATAATAACACAGTCTATGGCTCCTCCCTAAATTCCTACAACTGTACGTGCTATATTTAGAAATTTATTTAGTACTGTAATTTTTTTTTTGGAAAATTGTACTTGTGTTACAATGAAATACATTCTACAAATTTGAAAACAGAAAAGGATATATTTCTATTATTTTTGGATTTTCTTTTGTATACCTATTAATTTCACTTAAAGTGTACTTAGAAAGAGAAAGCATATCATACAAACATACGTAATGTTTCCGTATTTATATATGCATCAATAAATGTCAAATAAGTAAATAAATAAATTTCATGATTTGTAATATTGATCACTCGTGAATAACATTGAGTTTTACAGAAAGTATTATTACACACACAAGATTCACATTACGCTTTTAAATATCGTTTAGGTTTTTAAAATTTGATAAGGATTTCAAAATCACCTTTTTATGATGACTAGTCAAGTAAATCTAAATCTTAGAATTTAAAAAAAATGATAACTTTGCCACAGAAAATAGTTTGAAGACATGGCAACATTATTTTCACAAGCCCAAAGCCATACCAGTTACAATAGTAAGTTTCAAGAAAGGGAAATTTCTAAATATCAAAATAGAATGACACTTCTGTATACATATTTAAACGAATTTTCATATTGATTGTAATACAGTTTATTTTGTATATAATATGTTTTAAAGCCCTTTAATATTGTTATCATCATAGACTATACAAGTCAATAATTATTTTCAAATTCTAAATCATGGCATATTTTGGTATTTTTTTACTTCTTTAGTATATTTTTGAATAGGATGACTTTTATTTGGTTAAAAATTAAAAACTTTACAGAAGAATCATTGATTTCTAAGATTCATTGCATTGGCACATGATTTCAAATTCAAAATCATATTTTGTGTAAAAGTGAGTGAAATCCTATTATTTATACTTAAAGTATTTTATAATACTAGAAAATTACTATATATAAACAACATTCATTAATATTTTGATCTTTTAAAAGTTTTGATGAATAATACAAAATTTTCATGATTGAACTTTTTGTTTGAATTAGTTTTAATTTAGTATTATTTAACATAAAGGATATAAGACCATGCCTAAAAATGGATAGGATAAAATCTACTGTAGGTTTAAAATGGATTTTGAATTGTTATAAAATATTCCACAAGGATAAAGATATCTTAAAATCTACACACACATGCATGTTTCTTTTTTTAGATCTTAAAATTTAGAGTAAATTTGTAAAATTATAAGATTACCAAACTCCTTGTTGAAAATAAGGTGTGCAGATAATTTTAACTCTAGGTTTTAGCTTTAAAGCTTCATGTAAATATTTCCCAGTTTAAAAGCTTCCAGTAAACATTTCCCAGTGTTTGTGATTGATTCAAAGCAATTTTTTAAGCCATTTCCTTCATATTAGTAGCATCAAAGTTTTTTTTTTTTTTTTTTTTTTTTTTTTTCTTATATATATATATATATATATATATATATAGTACATTTCCAACATTAAATTTAATATCCATGTAAGTAAATAAAAAATATTTACAAGTTACAATTATTATTTAGACACATGTAGATTTCACCTTCTATTTGATCTGCTACTAAATTATTTTCCTCCACAGGAAAACCCTTATACAACATTCCAGATAAGGTACAAATTTGTGTTTCTCAACAATCCTTATGACCAAAACTTTCTTTTGTATGCATTTGTAGGAGTAGAAAAGAACAAAACACAATAATTGGAATTAGATGCCTCTCCTTTATACCAATTGCATTTCAATTCACATGGTTGACTGTAATTGATAAGAAATCATCATGTTCACATGAATGAATCAAAATCTAGCAAACCAACCCCGTTTTCATGATTTAGGTGGTGTTGACTTCTTTCAAGAGATAAGTCCCCCCATCTTGCAGAAAAACACATTAGTTGACTTCCATTGGTCCTCAGAAACCTCTTAAGCTACTATTCTTAACATTTTACAAAAATAAGGCAGAAGAAGGGAAAATAGGTAACTTTACTGCTGCATGTTATCTCTTCTGTAGAGATAAAGAATGTTTCCTTACAAACAATGCTGTATAATATAATAATGTGCCTCATTATTTCTATTCTGTAATGCCCCCCTCTAGTTTTTGAGTGAGTTGGACGTGATTTGCTGGCACTATGATAAGAGGGCAAAAAGAAAAACGAAACATGAAAAATAAAAAATAAAAAAAGGCAAATAATATGGCCCAGCAAAGTTGACCACAAGGGTGTGTGAAGAAAGTCTCCCACCATATCTGTTGACTATTTTACAGGGTCCAACCCTGAAACCTGGAATCAGCAATAAGACACCAATATTAATTCCAACAATGATTGGAATAATAATATTATAGTTTTTTGCTTGCATTTGCAGGCACCCATATAAACTGGTCAGCAAAATGCTTTTGAAGCATTTGGAAAAAGGATGAACAAATAATTTGCATGAGGTGGGCAACACATGTGCAAACAAAAAGCCATTTTTCTCCATGAAACTTCAAAACAGTGTTGACCAAGGGACTTTTTCTGGGGAGTGTCACCATGCCTCTCCACCTGCCTTGTTGGTGCCTTGTCACATAGTGACTTAGCTGCATCAGTATGTACATATGGGATTTATTTATTTATTTATTTATTAATTTATTCACTCACTTAGCTGTATGATTGTCCTGCAACAGTACTTCAGTTTCAGTGTAGAAGTTCTTCATGTGAGTAACTGTGACCAAGACTATTGTTGCGTTACAAGGCAAAAAGGCAAGGAATGGCCTACTTGTGAGTATATTATCCATGTAGATTCTAAGGCATAGAAAAACTTCAAAAGCAAGTAAATCTTGCTTGTTTCATGCTCAATTGAAGCAATGAAAGAGAGGGAAAAAAAAAAAAAAAAAAAAAAAAAAAACACAACAACAACAAACAAACAAACAAACAAACAAACAAACAAAAAATGAAGGAAGAAGAAGAAGAAGAAGCATTGGCCTTTTTGAAATAGAGTGAAACAAGGGACTTTGGTTCAAATGGACTCCATATTTTGATGTTGCTCAACTGCAAATGTAAAAATTGAGGTCTTCACAGCTTTGTGAGGATGGAGTCAATTGTTTTATATCTCTGGAATGTGTGTTAACATGAAAACAAAATTACCTATTGAAACCTAGAAGAAGATGTAAGGCAATCAATAAGCCTGTTTGGGTTCCATTTTATACAACATTTCACATCCAGTTAAGCCTTTTCCAAGCATCACAATACTTGTGGGAGGTACCCAACAAAGAAAGTTTCTAGAGCATTTAGAGGATAGATTCCTCTTCTGTAAAGTTTTTCACTATCCTCAATAATTCAGAATTGTCTGTAAGTTCATGGGGACTGTTTTGGACATGAGTGGCTGTAATACAAAATATTGTTATCTTATCATTTTTAAGATATTGTTGAAATAAAATATTGTCATGATGATGATGATGATGATGGTGATTATAAAATAAATTTTGTTGAAGAAAACAAGCCTTGCAGGCAAGCCTTTGGGTCACCATTCTAAGAGAACTTTCAAAATGACTGTGTGTGTGTGTGTATATATATATATATATATATATTGCATTGTGTTGCTTTTCCATGGCTAGTGGTTGTGAGTAGGAACACCCTTTGCTTTTTCACATGGACCAGCTGACATCACTTGTCACAGCTTTGAGACCAATTCATGCATGATTGGCAAAGTGATTCCATGATGTTGCCTATTTCTTCAGGACTCAGTGACAAAAACAATGCTTGAAGAGAAAATTATCTCGTGCCATCTCTCATCTTCACTCATTTTCTCTCTTTCAATTTCTCTGTGTGTGTGTTTGCAAGTAAAACTAGGGGGCCCCATTTCAACTTAATTGACTTTGCAGAACCCTCATGAAGGAAGAAGAAACTAACCTCCTCAATGAGTTGAAAAAACCACTTTAACTGTAGAGAAAAATGGCCACTGATCAGGACACTTCAGAGTTGTATTGAAAACTGAATCCATACATGTGCACCATTTAGGAAGAACAACTTGCAGGGTCAAGGAACTAAGCAAATTCAGAACTTGGCTGGCAAGTACTAGGAATGGTCCCACAAATGAAAACAATGCCAGAATTGTTGAGGATGTTTGCCACAGAGGCTCAAGTTGTTATCTAGTAATCTTATTTATGATTTTGGGAGCTGTTTGGTAGATCAATAGTAGATGTGATATTATTCATCTGGGTTCTGAATGTGTTATTGAATTCAAACATGGTCGTGTAGTCTTCAAAGCGAGTGTTTGCTAGAGGAATTTTTGAGGGGGTCTTATTGTTCATTTTAATACTCCAATCTCAAGGGCAGCATGTTTTGACTGACACATGCATTTCACGATTCATATTTTAGTACGGTTTCTTGTTTGCATTATGCAGCTGCGTTGGGTTACTAAATCGGTACTAGTGCGATCACACATGATCACAGATTCTCTGAAAGGAAGATGAAGTTGTTTGCCTTTTTCGTCCGGCTCCCGCACAACAGTCAAATCTAGGCGTGGCCAACCGGTTTTCCTAACAAAGAGACAGTTGATCGACTGGGGGATCCCGAGGGCCAGGGCCGCGTGGGCCCACCGCAGCCTCCCTCGAGGCGTAGAAACAAATCAATGCAATTTCAACTGGTCTTTGCCCTGCGAAAGACCGGGTGCTTTGACGAACAACGCTTCTGTTGTATCATAAGCACTCATCTTCCAACTACTCCAGATGCGAGAGTATATATGCTCCATTGCACCCAGTAGTTTGCAAGCCAGACCATCCCTTCGGCAGCTCCGTCTAAGTTGCAACCCGTCTTACCCCAAACGGTCTTGTATACTGAAGCAGTCCCCGGGGAGTTAGGTGCACTTCGACTCGCTGTGCATGCCTTCTAGTTGGGAACCCCAATTCCAGACAGGAGAATTGATATCACAGCTGTCCAACTATCCACTATTGTAAATTGGTTAAGCTGTGTATGAGCTCCACCCGTACCGCTGAGCTCGATACCCGTGGAGAATTCGTTGTCGAACTCACTCATTTGTGTGCTTTCCAATTATAGGACTCAAGGCTGTTTTTGGATACTATTGAGAGTTGATCTTGTTTCGCCATGGATCATACGCGAAAGAAGGGTAGCGCTGTTCTGTACGTCTTCGCAGCTGTGCTGTTGTGGAGTGGAGTGCTAGTGGCTGAAGTGGATGCTCAAGGCTCATGGGAGACAGTGGTCGACAACGCCGGAATTTCGACCATGCACGCTGCGGTGACTCACTACGGAAACGTCATTCTTCTTGACCGGACCAACATCGGCGATAGCCAGCTGCCCTTGCCTGCTGGAGTGTGCCGCGATAATCCAGCAGATCGGGTGAGTACATTTTGATTTTCATATATCACACAATGTTCATGAACACGTCATGATAGGGATAACAGTTGCTAGTAAAGAAGATATACAACAGTCTCACCTCGCAAGGGAGTGGTCGAAATATCGCCAAGTGTAAAGTCGGTGAACAAAGCCATCCCCAGTCCTCGGAGTGAAAAGAGCGGTTTGAATCGCGTAGATCTATAAGCTTCACCTCTAATCAGGAGTAGATCGGTGAGGTCACACATCTATTCTTTTGTGGTCCGATCAATTGAATGAGTGAAGTGTGACACCACTCCGCACATTCATCTCTTAGGTTAGGGATAGTGTACAGGATTGAACCGAAAGTTTCAGCAAACAGTAATTAAGAGACGGTTATTCATAGCTAGCTCCAACGGAATCGCAGTCGCTTCAGAGAGTTCATGTGTTTACAGACCTTGTGGCAACTGAGCAGCTACTATTGTAGATGTCTAAAACTAATGAAGCACAATACAGATAGATCCTGTTGCATAGCCATCAATAACCTTACAAACTTAGCGATTAACATCTGATGTGACTCTACTGTGACAGGCCAATACCCATGACTGCACCGCTCACTCCGCCATCTACTCCCCCGGCTCCAACGCCATTCGCCCTCTCTTCATCTTCACCGACACTTGGTGCTCCTCCGGGGCTTTTGACGGTGATGGCAATATGATTCAAACCGGTGGAGACTCTGATGGCATTTCCAAGGTACTGAGCATGCACCACCCTTTCTTCACATGAGGTCCTGCTTCATCATGGCCTGAAGCACCTCGTCTGCTCACCCCTCTCACTATTGCTTCTGCAGCCAAGTGGTTCTTATGTGTCGCTCCTACTTGCAGCACTCCTTGTCCTTGACACGTTCATTGCGTCCAATTAAGTTGCTTAGTCGCATGGAATGACCGGGCTCCGACTCCCTTGATTGCAACAGATTCGTACCTTTGCACCCTGCGGTGACAATGGAGGATGTGATTGGGTAGAGACCACCACCGACTTGCAGCTCGGAAGGTGGTATGCCTCCAATCAGCAACTCCCCGACGGAACCCAAGCAGTAATCGGCGGCAGAAACGCGTTCACCGTGGAGTACGTGCCCGCAAACGGCCGGGGCCAAACCGAGCTGCAGCTTCTCATAGATGTATAAGCCACGCCCTTCCCACCTTCTACTGCAGTTTTCAATTTTAGGATTCCTTCTGGTCTCATGCTGTATTGTAGGGATTCCTTCGCGGTTCAATCAGTCGCCTGCCATGTGGAGTCGCACTGGTTCCAGCTCGGTCCATGGACAGTGCGCGGTGCCGGATTCAAATCCGGTTGCTCCACAACCACCGACTGACAGCCACGTCGTCCACTTCGGGCTACAAGGTCTTCGGGAGTTCTTTACATCGAAGGGAAGAACCAGTGCACACATCCTGAGCATGCTTGCCTCTCGTGTTTCGCATGTGTGCAGACTAACAGCGCCCAGTACGATAATCTGTACCCGTTCGTGCACCTACTCCCCAACAACGACCTCTTCATCTTCGCCAACAAGGATAGCATCCTATTCAACTGGCAAACCAACACCGTTGTGAAAAACCTCCCCACCTTGGCCGGCGGGCCTCGCAACTATCCTTCGGCCGGGAGCTCTGTCATGCTGCCACTCACGGCCGCCGACAACTACGAAGGCGTGGAGGTGCTGGTGTGCGGAGGAGCCGCGGAGGGAGCGTACAACAACCCAACTGCACAGTATGACGCCCTCAACACGTGCGGACGCATAAACCCTCTGGCCGGGACACCAAGATGGGCGACGGAAACCATGCCCCAGCGGCGCACCATGGGTGACATGATCCTGGTCCCCACGGGTGGCGTGATCATCATCAACGGCGCCAGCAAGGGATCGCAGGGATGGGGCTTTGCCAGCGACCCCGTGTATACGCCGGTGCTGTACAGCCCGGGAGCAGCCGCGGGGCGACGCTTCCAGACGCTGGCTGGGTCGGGCATCCCCCGCATGTACCACTCCACCGCCAATCTGCTGGCGGACGGGCGCATTCTGGTGGCTGGCAGCAACACCCATCAGTTCTACACTTTCAACGGCGAGTTCCCCACGGAGCTCAGGATCGAGGCGTTCTCACCTCCTTATTTGGGCGGCGACAGGCCTGAGCTGGCCGTGGGCGGAGCGCTCGGGTACGGCGATGCGTTCACGGCCACCGTGACCTATGGCGGGGACTTGAACGGCGGCAACATCGACCTCACGCTGGCCAGTGCACCTTTCGTGACGCACTCGTACGCCATGGTAAGTGGTGCTCCACGATTGTGAACCCCCAATGTGACCACATGGCGGGCCTGGACAGGTGGTCATCGAGTCTGAGGCGTGCCTTTTGCTCATTTTGTGACTGTTAGCGTGGGTGTGTGGGTGCGCGCTTGTGTGGGCGGGTTCATGAATGCAAGTTTGATGGAATTGGTGGCGAGCGGGTTGAGGCATTGCGCATGGAGTTGCTTAAGAGTGGGAGTGAAGAAAGGGGTGAGTCGGGATGGTGGGGGTCCGGATTGTGAGGTTTCGAGCGGTTAGCTGAATCTGACAAGGTTGTGCGTGACGGTGCAGGGCCAGAGATTGCTGTGGTTGGGAGTGACGGCTCCAGTGGCTGCAGGTGCGGGCAAGTACACGGTGGATGCAACGGCACCGCCGAGCTCCACCATTGCGCCCGCAGGGTACTACATGTTGTTCGCGGTTGCAAATGGCGTGCCCAGCTATGCCAGCTGGGTGAAGGTGGGCTAAGAGTAGGCGAGAACGATTCGCAGTCTTGGACAGCGCAACAGCATCAGCTGTTGCAAAGTTGGGAAGAGAGTGCGGAAGGTGTGCGCGCCGTTGGGGCGAAGCTGATGTGCGTGTGAGGCCGAGTGCACCCGGCGCCGTGAGTGAGGGATAGGTGCATTTCTGCGATCCGAGGAAGCAGCACGAAGGAGTTGGATCTGAGGAAGTGGCGACGCTATAGATGTGAATGTAGGAAGTTGGGGCACTCAGTGTTTAGGGAGTGGCCGGTGTGAATAATTGGCATTGGATTCTTGAATCAGGCTGAGATGCGGAGTGGCGTGGAGTTCGCTGTGAGCGAGTAGGACAGATCTCCGGAGCAATTTCCGGACGTTAATATCATTCGGTGTCGATGGGCAGCAAATGTGTGAGATGGGCTATTGGGTGGCCCATCATTTGAGGTATAAATTGATTGAATTGATTCTGATTTTAGTAGAACCGAGTGTTGGTACGTTAGAATGTTCTGGGTGCACCGCCTCTGACAGTTGGAGCCATCCTTTATTCATTGGAGTTGAATTAGCTCCACTTTTTATGGACGATCCAGTGGGCAGAGTTGTATACAATCCTACTTTTAGATGGCAATGGTGGGATAATGACTACTTCGCCGTGATTTATACAGCAAAATCGTACAACCAAGAAGGGCCCTTCGGTAAATGTGTTGCGCACTTGTAAACAGTACCCCATGGACCGGTCTTTGAATGTATAGGAAATGATACGAGGTTGCTGAACTGAATACATGGATTATGGGTGGCGTTGTGCTGCATTCAATGCATTCTTACAATATTTGCAATAAGTTTTCCTCGTTCTTCAAGACTGCCGTTTGTCGTGCACTGCTTGCTTAGTTTTGCGTCTCTTTGTCGGTAGGGGCTGTCTCCATTCATGGTTGTCACGGTGTGCGCAGCAATGGAGGAAACCACCTGAAAGAGTTCGAACATGTCGAAGCAGGGGCAAGTGATCATGTTTTTTGAACTGAATTTGGGACGAGCGAGGAATCTGCTTGGCATGCAAATACTGTTTCAGTATATGGTCAATTCCTTGCAGTATAGCACAATCCAAGTGAGAGCAACCTATTTTGCAACTCCGAATGCACGCCCTAATCAATCTAATACAGCAATGTAGATGTGACAACATTGTTTTTGAAGGGAATTTTGAGTTCAAATTTTGTTCCCTCATTCAATGTATGTTTCAAGTGATAAGTATTCATGTTTTTATGATTGTTAGATTTCAGCACATTTTTAGAATGTTTACTTATTTATTGAATTAAGAGGGCCTTTATACCTAGAAACTCATTTTGAAAGGTCATGGTTCAAAAGTCATACCAAATTTCTATGTTTTGTGAAAAATAGTTTTTTTTTTTTTTTTTTTTTTTGAAAGCATAGACCTTTGAATATAATATAAAGTAAATATAATGTAAAGTGAAAAGAGGCAATGAAATGGACTAAGTCATTCTTTCATTATAAGTCTAAATATGTCAACATAAATATAAATACATCTTCATTCAAATAATTAGAAGAAGTAAAAAAATTAAATTTTTAATAGTTATTTTAAGCAATTTTTAACAAGGTTTTTAAAAGTTTTTTACAAACCACCTCTCAAGTTGAAAACAAAAGAAATTCTAAGAAACTATATTATTCATAATAGTATTAAACAACACTCTAGTCTTCTTGACTTTTGCAATAGATATTTTAGTTTTTATATTATATTAATTTAGAGTCAATATTTATTCTTTTTGAGTGACATAAGAGTGTATTGAGGTTTATTTGTTTATGATTCATGTCCTTGATAATTTGACAAGAGTATTGATTAATTATTCTTGTTTTATTTTTAAAGTAAGTAGATTATTTTATTTTTTTTTGTAATGTTTTAAAGGTTGTAGATTATTGTTACAGACATACATATTTATCCTGATAATTATCTAGATAATAAGAATAGGTAGAAGTAAGTCAAAGTAGATAAATATGATAATATCTTGTGGAAAGCTTTCTAGAAGCTTTATAGATGCTTTCTAGAAGCTTCATACATGTCTATAGGTGATTAATAGGTTGAAAACTTGGCCAACGTGGAGGCTGCGTGTCGACATGTTGACTACTTATAGTACAAGTTGGACATATAGTGCACACCTAGGAAACTTGCCTTGCAAATTGGACATGTATCCTATAAGCTGGACGTGTATTAGAGGTCTTATAGCATGTTGCCAAATATTTCTAAGTTAAGTAGTATATATAGAGGCAAGAGTGAGGCCTTCTTCACTCTTATCAATTCTTTTCTTGCTTTTTAGTCTAGTTTCAAGAGTCTTATGTTTTCTAGTCTATGGCAATAGTCATTCCAGTTCTTCTTTGAATATACATACTTTCTTCTATTTTATCACTTTTTTTTTTTATATAGATTCCATAACTTTATGCATCTTCTTCTAGTATGTATCTTTGACAGATTGACAAGAGTAGACATATAATATCAGAGCTTTGTCTTTTCTTGATTAAGAGTGGATTACCCCTTTTTCTTGATAAGACATAAGGATATTAGAAGTTGCAGATTACCCTCTTCTAAACTGATATTGTTTCTAGAAATTTTTTCTTGATTCTTGAATATTTTATTTTGTGAGAATAGACACCTTTCTTTTTATTATGCTAGCATGGTAGAGCTTGCTGAAATGAAGAGTATAATGACTCAAATGCAAGAGCAAATGAGAGAGTTAATACTTGCAATGCATCAACTTAGTCTATGTCTATAAGAAGCAACAAGATTATCAAGCAATGGAAATATAGAGATGATTGGAGTTGCTTCAACATCTATACTAAGCCATACTACTACTCCTACAACAAAACATCATTCAAGTTTCAAGGAATTAAAAATTAGATTGCATGAGAAGTTTGATGGCACAAGATCTAAGTTTCGAGGATTCATCAATCACGTACAACTGATAATTGAACTACAACCTCAAAGTTATCCAACTCAAGGATCACAAGTGAGGTTTATTGGAACACTATTTTCAGGTTCTGCTTTATCATGGTTTTTATCATTTCTTGAACAATGTGATCCAATATTGGATAATTTGGAAGAAATTTTAATGGAGTTTTGATCTATGTATGGAGAATATGATGCAATCTATGTTGCAACCAATAAGATTTATATCTTGTAACAAGGCAGTCGATGAGTGATATTATATACTTTACAATTTTGATAATTAGCGATATATATCAAGTGGGATGATGCAACATTCATCAACCAATTTTTCTATGGATTACAATATGAAGTAAAGAAATTGATGCTCAATTTACCTGATCCTCAAACATTGAGTCAAGCAATTGACTTTGTTGTAAAATGTAACAATTATTTTTTTGAATTTTGATTTGAGAATCATACAAAAAAACCTCAATATTATTACAATTCAATGACGACACCAATGACCTCTCAATCTAAGCATTTGGAAGTAGAAGACATGCAAATTGATGCAGTATATTTTAAACTTCTTACTGAATAAGAAAAGACTTGTTGTTGTGAAGAAGGACTATGTTTATATTGTGGAGAAGCTAAGCACATTGCTCAATATTGTCCAAAGAAATGACGCAACTATAAAATGAGGAATATTGCTGTCAAAGATGAAAACATGTCAAAAAACAAATTTGTCCAGCTGTAATAGGGAATGTGTGGATAGAATCTTGTATAATTCCTAATGAAGGTCCTATTCTCTCCTCAATAGCCTCTCCTTGTTTTACAATAGATGAGCATTTAAAATCTAATAAATAAAAAGCCTCTGTTTATTTTTTAGATGAAGAATTTATTAAAAATCATAATATATAATTAGTACAAAAAACCAAACCCGTTGTCGTGTTGTGGTTTGGCTACTATATGAAAATAATGTAACTATGTACTTAATATATAATTTAGTAAGTAACATAGTGAGAGCCATATTAGTAGATTTTAATTGGTTGTAGAATATAATTTGATTATTACCTTGAAAAGAGGTTGTTTAAAAAGATTACTATAGAATTTGTATAACTTTAATTTCTTTTGATAGTGGCTTTTAAGATTGGTTTTGATTGATAGTAACTTCTAAATATTTAGAGTCACCTTTGTTAGACATTGGTGACCTTTCAAAAATTATTTTGGTTCTCTTATTTGGTGTTTAGAACATAAATTATGTAAATTTTATAACTAAAAGGGTTGAAAAAGGGTTTTAATAGCAAAGAGAGTTTAGGACATCCATATAGATGAATGGAGATGGATGATGAAAATCTCCATTTCTATTGATCAAAAATCATGACCAATAGGCTTTGAGGAGGCTGCTCGAGGCCATATTAGAGATTAGGATTAGTTTTTTGAGGCCATTCGAGCTTTGAAGGCTAAGGTCAGTAATTTTATATTTTTTGCAATGATTTTGGTACAAATCTTATATGATTTGGAGTTTATATGAAGGAAATATAGGCTCTCAAAGTTAAGGTATTGATTTGGGAGCTACTGTCACTCTTTTTGACATAACGTACACGTACAAATGGCAATTGAGGATCAGCGACTGCAACTAGAGAGATCACTTTTGTGGCTATACTTTTTGCAACTATTTACTAGATTCCAAGTTGAAGTGAAGGAGTTATTGGATTTTGAAGTCAGTGCATGCAAACTAAGGGTAGTAAGTGATCCGATTTACTAGTAGTTGTGTCTTGAGCTATATCTTTAGCAATTTGACAAAATTTTGGCTCAAAATATCAGAGAATGTGTAATTTCATGTTAGTAAACTTTGTACATAATTTTGATGACATTTGAGTATTGAGTTCATGAGATATTAAGAAAATAATGCTTAGGTACTTGTAAATTAGGGTTTAGAGCATGTGCTAGGATTTCTTAGATGCCAAAAGATTGAGCGTGAATTTGCAATTGGTTTTTTTTGTGATAAAATTTAAGGATAAATTCTACCTACTCTATAAATTTGAAACAAATTAAATACCTAGATCAAGAGTTATGAATTTCTTAAGTATAGGACGAGAAAATCCTTTGTAAGAAAAATATGTTTTGAAGGGATTTTGTTATATTTTGAGTTTTATGCAAAATAAAGGAGTTTTGGAAGCTATGAGAAGATTCATATAAAAGTTTAAGCTAAAATCTCTATAGCTAGATATCTAGTATATTCCTAGATAGCAAATCATGCTATACAACACTATACATATAGAAGTCATAGATATTCGTATGTTATCTTTTAGAAATATTAGTCATGAAACACTTTCTATAGATGTAGTAATAAATGGTCATAATAGGTTTGTAATTTTTAATATAATTAGATCTCTCTCTAATCTAGTCATTTTAGATTTATTGTGGCTAAAAAAGTATAATTCTATGATAGATTGGATTTCTTGTAGACTTGACTTTTCTTCAAACATCATTAAGAGTTTTTTTAATCCAATAGAAAGCCATGAGTCTAGTATAGCCAAATCTATACTTATAGGTGCAAAAGCTTTATTTCATGTTGCAAAAGAAGGATCGTCTTTTATTGTTTATGCCACACCTATTTTAAATGATAGAAAGATTTCAAGTGAAATTCCAATTCAATATCAAGATTTTAAAGATATTTTTGAGAAGAAGAATGCAGATATTTTTTTAGAACATCGTCCATATGATTGCTCAATCGATCTTAAAGAAAGAACACAGCTGCCATTTGGTCCAATCTATAGTTTATCACAAAATGAGTTGGCTGAACTCAAGAAATACATTGATGAGAACTTGGCCAAGAATTTCATACAC